ACAACACGAGTCCACACAAGTCATCACCAAATCTCTCAAACGAGTCCTTCGGATATTCCTCTTGAGTCCAATTCATATCAATTGATGTCATCATTGGTTATCAATACATGAAATGGATGTTAAAACATGTAATCAATGGGTTGACATATGAGAGCACCGGTTGGTATTGAATTGAAATCAAATTAAACTTCAAATCACAATAATTGACAATAAATCTCGTGAATATTTAAATCACAGAATATTTTGCGTTTAGATTACTTTCAATACTTTATAAAAATGAATAAATTCTGGGAATAAGTTTAGTTTATAAACACAATTAAGTTGTTTCATGAATTGTGTTAAATTACACAAAACATTAAAAATGTTTAATAAATTTGTATAACATTTTCAATAAACGATAATTATTTATTAAATTATTAAAACATTTTTATGAGGGATTAAAATCAGGTATATTTATAATCTATTAAAACACTTCTTAATAAAAAAACATTTACCAAAAATAGATGTAAGATTCACTCAAAATTGTTTTATAATATAAAAACTAAAATCTATGCATAATATGAGAAAATAATATACTTTTCATATCTCTATATAATTAACGCCTAATACATAACAATAGCTAACATTATGTGTCAAACGCGGGTAAACCAAACAATTCGGGTTTGAATTCAAGCAATGAGTTCAATGTAATCGTAGGTTTAGCCAAATCCAGGGACAGATCCTTGGCCGGCACCCACACCACCTGACAGCCCGCCGATATGCCGGCCCTCACGCCGGCCGGTGCGTCCTCGAAGACCAACACATTGGACATGGATTTGGGTTTCAAGTCAAACCGAGCCACACATACCTATCCATTCAAACAGATTATTAGTATTTCTTAGCAAATAATTTACTAATTAGTAAAACACATGAAATAAGTTTAAATATTTTTAAAATACTAATTTTTATATTTAAAAATGCTGTTTAAACTTTTACGCTACTATTAATTATGAAGTGTATAAACAGATTATAAAATAAATAATAAGAAAAATAATCTAGGAAAAATAATCTAGTAAAGCCACAAATCAATAGTTCAGTGATTATTATAACAAAATGTGTGTCAATAGTATTAAACAAATGTTTAGTTCAAATCGTAACTCAATGAAATAATTGACAACTTTTTAAAAACCATAACTTCTATGATATAAACTGTAATTAGAAAAATGCTGGACAGGTATGTCTCATACCTGATAGGACTGGGGGTCGGGCTTTCCTCTGGTAATCTCGGGGTCGTCCGAACAGATCAATATGTGGTGAAACAGTTTGAACACATCCTTCAAGTCCTTGGTTTTCATATCAAACGTATGCTTTTTACTACTCGTGGCGATGGCTATGGGTATGCCGTGTCGGTGTAGGTGCCGCACAAGGCGCTCAGCACCGGGCATAAACGGCACGTTGTCAAACACCTTCAGGTACTCCCTGT